GATTCAAGATTATAATCTTTTACTATAGGAGGAGGTTGTATAAAATTTTTTATTTTAATATCCTTATTTTTGTTTTCAATCAAAACTGGTTTAACTGTTTGTTGAAGATTTTCTATGAGAGAAAATAATTTGTCAACTTTATCATGTAAAGAACCAATTTGTTCTCCTAAAATTTTTACATATAAATTTGTATAATTATTTTGCTGAATAAATTTATTTACTAAAGAAACAGTAGAAGGTAAAACTTCACTTTCAACTAATTTTTGAAAAGCAAAAAAAGTTATATGGGTTGCATTTGTTAGAACAAATTCTTTTTGTGGAGGGTAAATTCCTTTTGTAATTTTTTCATATTCAAGAAGATATTCTCTTTCAAGGAGGAAAATATATTTATCAAGATAAGTGATTATAAACCACGGAACAAAATATATTATTTGATTGTGAAAAGAAGCATATTCATAAAATTCTTTTTGTATAAGTTTTTGATTTTCAATATCATAAGTAGAAAAGAACCATTCTCTGAAAAGTTTCCACTTTTCAGATTGAAATTCTTGTCTTATTATTTGTCTAATATTAGATCCTGGACTAAAATCTAATTTTTCAGTATTCGCCATGATAACCCATTTCAGAAGGTGAAGGCATATCCTTATCATAAGTCTTACTATCAGCAGACCGAACAATGTTATATGGATCAATTTTTACTTGATTTATTCTATTTGTTAAATCTATTTCAGGAATCGAAGATGTCGAAAATCTATGAGAATCGACTGGATTAATATAAGATTTAAAAGATCTTTGAGAGCTAGATCTTAGTAATTTAGGAATTTTTGGTTTATCAAAAGTAATACTTATCTGACCATTATCAGATTGTTCAATTTCTGTAATATTACTACTTGTAACATTATGAGTTAATGAGTTTCTTTTAATTCCTTTATTAATTTGCCAAGACTCTGGAAATTCAATTTCTTCCCATTTAATAGTTTTACGAGTACTAATTTGAGATTTATAAAAATTAGTTTCTATAAGTATGGTTTCATCAGATGGTTTACTTATAATCTTACATCTGGGTGTTAAAGTATTTAATAATTTAAAACAAATACGGTAATGTAAACAAATAAGTTCACTTCCCGGTAAATAATTATAATCATGTAATTTTACATTTAATGTTAAAGCATCGAGTATATTAACATCAGACAATGATAATTGTAAATTTGGATAAACATTAAAATAAACTGGACCATGAGCTAAGCTGGACTGTATTATGCCCATTAGGGATTTTTTCCAATGTAAATTTCTACCATCACGTAAGGCAGCAACAAAGATTCAGGTAAACCTTCTAAAGTTAAAGGTTTAAATGCAATTTGGACCAATCCAATATGCATAAACTTGTAATTTTTATTAGATCTATAAGATTCAATATCTGTAGCAGACAAAAGTTGTAAAACCCTTTCATCATAATTTAAAGCAATTGATTGTTCAGTAGTTTTAACTACCTGTTTAACCAAGTATCGATCAAACATACCATATTCATACAAAGTATTAGTGGGTACCTTTGGTATTGACCATTTATTAAGAAGAGCAAGCTGTTGAGGCATATTGTATTCCTCTTGAACTGAATTTTTTATTGAAGTAGTTTCTAAATTATTCATTTTTGATTTAGGTTCTGAATCAAACAAATCTTTTGTAAACATAAAAAATACATAACCGCTCTGATACCAAGTTATTGTAAAGATTATTATCTTTTTTACAACAATCATTATTACTATTATTTTGACATGGAAGACATTCATCCGAAGAACTAGATGAAAATTCATCATTTTCAAGCATATTATTTTCTGAGCTATTAGTTTCTTCTGTTTCAGATTCAGTATCTGATTCTTCTATTACTTTGCATATTTGTTCTTTAAGTTGTTCATCTATTTCTAATAGTCTTATTCTATTAATCTTTTTACAATTAGGAGCAATATGACCCTTTTGACCACATTTAAAACATGTTATGTCACTTTTATTTTTTTTATTAGTTTCTCTGTTCTTTTGTTCTTTTACGTCGTCTTTTACCTTTAGGTATATAAGGAATTTTATTTTTCTTCATTCTTTTAGCCCTATTTTCTGGCCATATATCCATAGCAAATTGATCACAGAACTGACCTAATTGTCGCCATTCTGATAATTGTTGTCGTTTAATTTGTTGATTTAACTTTATTTCATTACATAAAGCTAATCCTTCTTGTGTGCAAACACCTATTAGATGACCATAAGTGTAATCGTCATAAGGAATATAAGGAAAATCTTTCCTAAGAACTTTTCTTATTCGTTCAGCAAACAGAGTTGGTAAGCCATCTATAAATTTAGCTTTCCAATAAGAACTATTACTTTCTGGTAATTCCATGACTCTTGATAAAAATGAATCCTTATACCATTTAAAAGAAGTAAGTGTTTTACACTTAAAATTATTTAACAATATTCGAATATTTTCTTGATTATTGGTAAATTTTCCAGAAAAATGTTCTAATATAGATGCTATCAAAGTATATACTGCATCTTCCATCATAATGGGTGTAGATGTTCCTTCATTCTCAATTTTTACTGTATTATAAATTTTTTGTCTATCATTTTCGGTTAAATAATTATCCCACCATCCTTTAAGGACACCAGTAAAACCACAAACAGTCATTTTTGCGATTGCCTGATCTGTATTACCATTTGCTTTTGCAACTGAGGAGTACATTAACATCCTATGCACCATATTAGTTAATTGCCTGTCAGTAACTCCATCACAATTCCATTCATAAACAGAACGACTACTATAACTATTAGTAGTTTCTTGATGTTCTTCATAAAGAAGATCTTGTGGAGAAGGTCGAGGATAATAATAATGATTCATATATGGTTTATTAGCAAATTTATTATGTCTAGATTTATGAGAAAGACGATTTATTTCATATCGTAGAGTTTTATCAAAATCTTTCTGTATATTCTTAGAAAATTCTAAAGTGGATAATTTAAGATTTTTAAATTTTTCTTCCAATAATTTTTCTAATACATGTGGAGATTCAAGATTATAATCTTTTACTATAGGAGGAGGTTGTATAAAATTTTTTATTTTAATATCCTTATTTTTGTTTTCAATCAAAACTGGTTTAACTGTTTGTTGAAGATTTTCTATGAGAGAAAATAATTTGTCAACTTTATCATGTAAAGAACCAATTTGTTCTCCTAAAATTTTTACATATAAATTTGTATAATTATTTTGCTGAATAAATTTATTTACTAAAGAAACAGTAGAAGGTAAAATTTCACTTTCAACTAATTTTTGAAAAGCAGAAAAAGGTATATGAGTTGCATTTGTTAGAACAAATTCTTTTTGTGGAGGGTAAATTCTTTTTGTAATTTTTCCATCTGCAAGATGATATTCTCTTTCAAGGAGGAAAATATATTTATCAAGATAAGTGATTATAAACCACGGAACAAAATATATTATTTGATTGTGAAAAGAAGCATATTCATAAAATTCTTTTTGTATAAGTTTTTGATTTTCAATATCATAAGTAGAAAAGAACCATTCTCTGAAAAGTTTCCACTTTTCAGATTGAAATTCTTGTCTTATTATTTGTCTAATATTAGATCCTGGACTAAAATCTAATTTTTCAGTATTCGCCATGATAACCCATTTCAGAAGGTGAAGGCATATCCTTATCATAAGTCTTACTATCAGCAGACCGAACAATGTTATATGGATCAATTTTTACTTGATTTATTCTATTTGTTAAATCTATTTCAGGAATCGAAGATGTCGAAAATCTATGAGAATCGACTGGATTAATATAAGATTTAAAAGATCTTTGAGAGCTAGATCTTAGTAATTTAGGAATTTTTGGTTTATCAAAAGTAATACTTATCTGACCATTATCAGATTGTTCAATTTCTATAATATTACTACTTGTAACATTATGAGTTAATGAGTTTCTTTTAATTCCTTTATTAATTTGCCAAGACTCTGGAAATTCAATTTCTTCCCATTTAATAGTTTTACGAGTACTAATTTGAGATTTATAAAAATTAGTTTCTATAAGTATGGTTTCATCAGATGGTTTACTTATAATCTTACATCTGGGTGTTAAAGTATTTAATAATTTAAAACAAATACGGTAATGTAAACAAATAAGTTCACTTCCCAGTAAATAATTATAACCATGTAATTTTAAATTTAATGTTAAATCATCGAGTATATTAACATCAGACAATGATAACTGTAAATTTGGATAAACATTAAAATAAACTGGACCATGAGCTAAGCTGGACTGTATTATGCCCATTAGGGATTTTTTCCAATGTAAATTTCTACCATCACGTAAGGCAGCAACAAAAGATTCAGGTAAACCTTCTAAAGTTAAAGGTTTAAATGCAATTTGCACCAATCCAATATGCATAAACTTGTAATTTTTATTAGATCTATAAGATTCAATATCTGTAGCAGACAAAAGTTGTAAAACCCTTTCATCATAATTTAAAGCAATTGATTGTTCAGTAGTTTTAACTACCTGTTTAACCAAGTATCGATCAAACATACCATATTCATACAAAGTATTAGTGGGTACCTTTGGTATTGACCATTTATTAAGAAGAGCAAGCTGTTGAGGCATATTGTATTCCTCTTGAACTGAATTTTTTATTGAAGTAGTTTCTAAATTATTCATTTTTGATTTAAGTTTTGAATCAAACAAATCTTTTGTAAACAGATCCTGTAGCTGGCTGACATAGCATAGCTCCTGGATGAATGGTATTTTTTATGTACAGGATCAAAATCTCTATCCATCCTTAATTAAAATATCAATAATCGAGATGCATGGAAAAGTTTCACCCAACTCTCAAGCCTGTTTGGAATCCACAACTTATTGTGCATCATGTGGCCTCTTTTTCCCCTTAAACAATTCATCATAACGGGTACTTTTCCAGCCCAATGCACTTATTGTTGAGTTTTCCGACTGAACTCGGAATCGGAACCAATCTCAAATCATCGTATTTTAATTAAAAGAGAAGAAGGAGATAGAGCTTCCACTTTTATAACATTAACATGTATCCGCAAACTCTAGGCTTACTTAAATTTCCCTATGCTATCTAACAGCACAAGTTTCATTGTCATAGACTCTATTAACATTTTGAACCATTTCCGTTCTCTCTGATCTTTCTGTTAGAACAGGAAGAAAGGCAATGACTTCTTCCTCGTTCCGCAACCCTGTGCCGTTGGCATCCAATAATGCAAATTTCTTTGCCATAGTTTCTCTAAGCTCGGAACAAGTGTTGTTGTTATCTCTGTCAATTTTTTTGCCGCCCGTGATGATGCATTCCCGCTCTAGAGCATCTAACTCTGCAACTTCTCGCAACTCATGATTATGCACATGCCCAATGGTGATAGCGTTGGATTTGTTTGTTGCTTTCTCTAGGGCACTTACTTTCACTTTGCCATGTCTGTCCATATAAAATTTGACCTCAATTTGGGGCACACCTCTGCGACGACAACAAAGAAAAACCATTCAGTTAAATCATCGAAAAAAAAGCTTTCAGTGACAGCATAATTCAATGTTCGATATTAACTGATCAATCAATGTGAATTTACCTTGGAGCTGGAGGGATCCCAGTCAGATCAAAGTTTCCTATGTTCCTTAACTTGGATTTACCTGTATATACTCTGATTGCAACTGTATTTTGATTATCTTTATTCGTTGTGACAACTTGAGTCTCCTCTAATGGAAGTTCCATATAAAGAGTGCACCATGGAATAAATCTAACCATGACTCCACCAGCTGTCTCAATTCCAATATTCGCTCCAACAACTGGTTTTAGTAAGAGACCGAACATTGAATTTCGGTAAAGTTGACCAGATGTTAGGGCACCTTCAGTTCCAGCTCCCCGGGCTATAGCCTCATCTGGATTGCTCACCTCATTAGGCTCTCTCCCATCGAAGAAATCGTTTAATAGTTCTCGCACTTTAGGAATTCTGGTGCTTCCTCCAACCAGCACAATGTCATCGATGTCTTTCTTCTCCAAACCTGAATCCTTTAAACACTGCTCTACTAGCTTTATGGTCTTCTGAAACAGATCCATGTTCAGTTCTTCAAATTTTTCCCTTGATAGGGTTTCAGAGAAATCAACTTCATCGAAAAGTGACTCGATTTTGATATGAACATGCGGCTGGTCACTCAAGACTTTCTTAGCTTTCTCACACTCCTCTTTAAGCCTTGCAAGAGCCTGCTTATCACCACTGATATCTCTATTGTATTTGTTCTTGATCAGGTTCAAGAAGTAGGCCATAACTCTATGATCAAAATCTTCTCCTCCCAAGTGAGTGCTGCCATTTCTTGCAAGACCGTGGTAAAAGAAATCTTCATCAAATCTACCTTGAGTAATCAATACAGTAACATCCAAAGTACTGCCTCCAAGATCAAAAACTAGGATATTAGCTTCTTTTCGCTTAGTCATACGTCCATAATTTACATAGGCAGCAGCTGCTGCATCATAAAGTACACGAACTTTTAGCCCCACAGTGGCTCCTGCATCTTCAATGGTCTGAAATTGCGCACTGGAAAAAGAAAAGGCTGCACAAACAAAGTTATTTCACAAATCAGTAATCAGCAAAGTAATGATACATATAATTACCATAAGCTGCTAATTAATTTACCTGGATGAGTGAGCATGGCCTTCTCGATTTCCTTCCCCAAGTGTGATTCTGCTTTTTGCTTAATCCCTTTCAGCATCATACTAATGATTTCCTTAGGGCTCATCAACTTCATTTTGCCACTTTTCATTTCCACGGTTAGGTAAGGCTTCCCACCTTGATTAACTACCTTAAAAGGCAGCATCTTGATTTCTTTCTGAACCTCTGGATCATCAAACCTAAAAACCATTTGATTGGGTTAAAAAAAAAAATAAAGAAAAGAAAATTAGCAAAACAAAGTGCTAGCTTATTCTATTCCATCAAAGCGGTAAAAGATGTCAGAAATTCAATACTCAAAATCGGTGGTGATGAACTCACTCTCTTCCAATAAACCTCCTGGCAAAAGAAATGATAGATTTTGAGTGAAGGAGTGATTGATTGTCGGTGCCACCTCGGATCAGAAGCTCAGAATCAATGGATATGACATCAACATTGCCATTTTGATACACTCCAAAGCGGGAATTCACAGCCCCAAGATCAATACCAATTATAGTTTCTTCAGCATGACAGAAATAACCACCAACTTCAGTCCAAGGACCTATCTTAATTGGTTTCCTAGCATACACTGTCACCCCCACTCACAGTTGTTCAAAACAGTATTTAGAACAGTCAGTAAACCTACCTAATTAACAACTACCATGAAAGAATTTTTATTTGACAAAAATAATAGAGTACTAAAAAAAAAACCCCATGAAGTAATTTTCCATACGGATTTAACATTATAATCTTTGATAAAAAGGAAGTAGCTAGAATCAACTACTTTATATAGTATATACTCCCTCTGCCCCTCAGTCCCAAAAAAAATTAAATTAAAGGAATCAAAGATCACTATATAAGGTAATCTAATCAATTACTTTAAGATTTAATGTGAACAATTTTTTTGAACACAAGTAGTATACATTAAAAAAAAAACTATTATAATCAGTTATTATAACGAGCAACAAGCAATTTCAAAAAGATTAAAATTATCTCCCTCGCAACTGTTGCAGCAGCAAGTCTCTCATGTTCTAGTGATGAGTAAATTACAAACATAGACTGTAATTAAAATTTCCGCAATCAAAACCAATATGCAGACTGTAAATTAAAACGTATAATAACAAAAAAAAGAGACAAATAGAAGGAAATAGAGAAGCACCTGAAACGAAGAGGAGTAACAAGAGACACTGGTTCTGTATGGAAAAACCAGCACTTTTGCCAGCCATGATTGAATATTGGGTGAAGAATTCGTGTGAACTCTTCTGATCGGCCGATGGAGATTTTGCTTCAGTCGGAGGGAATTTTATGTGATGAGGATTTTGATTTTGGTGAAATTGATGAAACAATTCTCGGAAAAGTTCAACGAGGTATTAAGTGGTAAGAATTAATTGAAAGCTAGTTAGAATCCAACAGCAGCACCCAGAATCCGTGTTTGTTTCGACAACGGAAACCTTGGCTGCCCTGCCCGAGTAAAAAAAACAGTAAGGCTTAAGACCCGATTTGGAATCGAATAGGTAGGATGTCAAATTTTTTTATTTTTGATTATTCGAGTTCGAAATTACATTTCGGGCTTACATAAATCATAATGATAGCATATGAATTATCATATAAATTCCAATCCAAAAGCCCCCACCCCATCGGTCATCTTCTTCCCCTTTCTCCTTCCTTCCTTTTTAACTTCTATTTCTTTCCTTCCTCCGGTGTGTCCAGTAACGCTTGTTTGCCCGAAGATAGGAAGGAAAATAGAAGCAAGAGAATGGGAAATTCAGAACCTTAAAAGGTTTAGAGATTAGAACTCAAATTGAGGTAGGAAGGGAGCTCCCCAATTTTGGAATTTGATCTGAGGTAATACGCTAGTCTTCTTCTACACCTTCAATTGATACTTTTCAAATTAAATTACAAGAGTTAGGTTATGTTCAAGATGTTTCTTCTTCGTTTTGGGTGTTAATCCGATTGGGATGTTGGATTATTTATACGAAATAGAAAGCAAAGTACCTCGGAGGTGCTTGATGGTTTGAACGCTCTCGGTGAACCGGAGCTTCTGTTTTCTTTCTTGATTGCATATTATGCTTCGTTGATTAGGCTTGGTTTTGGATATTTAGAAATTATTATTTGATGACTCTGAGATTTAAGTTTTGAGTTAGGAAGTAAATGAAAAGGGAAGGAACAACCTTGGTACGAATTCTGTCTCATCCAAATCAAAAATTCAGATTTGAATTGTTATTTGAGAATCTTAATCATTATGTCTTCTAGTCCTGTTTATTCATGGTTCTCTGGAAAAACCCTTATTTATAAACCTACATTTGTTCTGGGTTTTACGCTACATTAAATAGCTATGTAGATTTTGGAAAATTCTGCTTAAACAGACAGAGTATGTATACTTGGTGTTTCTGAAAGTGCAGAAATCAGATTAGCAGGTTTCTGTTGAGATGCATTTTTCTCTTAGGTCGTTAACTGTTTTCAGGGATTTCTTTTTCTTATTCGTTCAGTGTAGATTATCACTTTTTTTTTTACGGATTCTGAAACGGAGTTGTGGATTGTTAAAAAAAGTGATTTGAACCGGACATGTCTGAACTGAAAATCTAAAAATCCAGATTCTGGCTTTCTGTTTAGGATTAGTTATTCCTATCCTTTGAGTTATTTTTCTGAGGTTTCTTTTCTTGAAAATCTCTTACAGTGGAAGTAGTTTACCTCAGTTTTTGTGGCTCGTGAAAAGGAGTTATGGTTTGTTCAAAACTCAATGTGAATGCAACACAAAATCTGAAAACTTTGGTCTGAAAATCTGGTCTGATGTAATGTTTTAGGAGATTTGTTTTTCTTGGTTTCTAAACCTTTTTCTCTTTTTCTTTTTGTGGAATCTCCCTTACTTACCGTGATTTGCCACCGTTTCATCGGTTTGTTAAAATGACTAATGGTTGATTCACAAATCACCTTTGAATATGACCTTTTGTCAACCTAATGCTGAAAACTTCAGAAATCATGACGTAAAATACTAACTTCTCAACTTCCTTCTTTATGGATCTGAACTCTTTTCTAATGATGCTTTCTTGTTTACTCTTTCTGGCCGTATGAGGAAAGAATTTCAGAGTTGTGAGAGTGATATTATCAGAGGGAAGGAAAGTTATGTACAGGACCATTAATGTTTCTCTGGTTCAATTTCGTAAAAGACTTGATTTCTTGCATTATTGACATAATATTTATAATTTTAGTTTTTATGTGACTCCGTGATGACGGATCTGGCTTTTCAGTGACCCCTTGTCTTGTTTTGTTCGGATTTGATTGGGTTTGAAAACACTAATATCAATGGTTTGTCCTTGTGCATCACTGTGTGTCTGGTAACTGAGGTGCTTAATGAGAGTTCAGTTTGCTCATCTTAAATTGGAGTTCTGTTACAAAATTTCTCCTTTTTTTTCCTTCAATATCAGGTTACAGTTTTACTGGTTGATGGATTTGGCTAATTGCTTCTTGGATGGCAATGTGGATGCTGTCGAATTTTGTCCCCACAATTCATTCCAGCATGTGCTTGCAGCCTCCACGTACACACTACAAGAGGGTTATGAGCCTAAACGAACTGGAAGCATCTCTCTTTTTAATGTTGATATCTGAGGTTGGTAATCTTGACTTGGCCTATAGAGCTGAGACTGCCGGGGTTTTTGATATAAAGTGGAACCCGGTTGTTGGTGATACGTTACCCTTACTTGCTCTAGCAGATGCTGATGGTTACTTGAGAATTCATAGGCTTGGATGTTGTTTAAATGGATCTGAAGTACCTGGTATGAGAAATATTAATATGAAAGGAAGTTTGTTTCACAGATATTATTGTGTTACATGCATGATACTTATGTTGAATACCTAGTTCTGTTGTGTGTTTGTTGTATTTGATATCTGTGTGATTTCATCTCCAGAATTAAACATTAATGTTTTATAAGATGACATATTATAGCTTAGACAGGTCAGTAGGATAATTTAGTACTTGACCAGGGTTCGTAAGTAAATGATTTAGTTATTAAACTATTCGAATAAAACCAATACATTTTTTTTATAGGTCACATGACATAATGCTTCACGGGCAAAATGCAATGAATTTGATATTTATTGTGGGATCAAATGTGTATGATTAGATTTAGGTAAAATATGTCTTACCACTCATCAAGTTAGGACAAAAGCTCATATGTGATGGACGTGTAAGCTCCGATCTGGTATGCTAGCAGTAAGAACACTGAGTTTATGAATCAATTCTACATCTTATGTACCAGTTGCATTTTTTTTATCCTGTTTAATATCAAATCCTAACAAATTGGAAAGTTAGACATAAAAAGGATCAAAATTGGATAAATAAGACTTAATGAAGAAATTCTTGTGGGTGCTGAAGCTTTTTGCTGTTCTATTTAAGCTCTGAGTGTCTGAAAACTTTTCTTTCTCGTAGATAATAGTGAACATAGTTACCGTTCATTTCGCATATCAAAGTTTGTCTATTTCAGAAAGGTCTTTTTAGTTGTTCCATCAGTTCCAGCTTATAACCACATTATATCTGAAGTTCATAAGAATTGGCTTTTGCAGGGCATTGTTTGGAAGATGTTTGGAGTGAGCATGTTAGTTCATCCATGTGTTTATGTCTAGAATGGGACCCTTCAGGCTCATCAGTCACCGTGGGTCTTTCTGATGGATGCGTCTTGATAGTTTCTTTCATGAGTAGCAGTTAAGTGTTGTACAAGAATGGAAAGCACATAACTTTGAGGTCTGGGCTACGTCCTTTGACTACCACCAACCTCATCTTGTTTACTTAGGATCTGATGATTGTAAGTTTAGCTGCTGGGATTTGCGTGATGACTCTTCGAATATGGTTTTCCAGAATTCCAAGGTTCATGAAATGGGAATTTGTTGTATCACAAAAAACCCTAGTGATACTAATACTCTACTTACCGGAAGTTACGACGAGCACCTGAGGGTGTGGGGTTTGAGATCAATGTTGAGGCCTATTAACGAAACATCGATTGGTTTAGGGGGAGGAGTGTGGAGAATCAAGCACCATCCTTCGATTTGAGGCGTTGTTTTGACTGCGTGTATGCACAAAGGTTTTGCAGTGGTGAAGACCAAAGGCGATGAGCCTGAGGTAATTGAAAGGTATGGAAAACACGGTTCACTTGCATACGGTGCAGATTGGCATAGGGGGAAGTTTACAGGGAAAGGGAAAAAAGGAAATAGGGCTCTTGTGGCCACTTGCTCATTTTATGACCGACTCCTTCGAGTTTGGATGCCTGAGTGTGACTTAACATTATTTGATTGATTTTACAGGTGAAAGCACATTTTTTGTCTTTATGAATGAAAATGGCAGGAATAGTCTAGATTCATTTTTGGTTGCATAGGTAGTAAACTCGATTATCAGGATTGGTTTTTTTTTTTGGTTAACAAAGCACTGAAGTCGCAGCTTCAGTGCAAATGTACCAGTTCTAAGGTAGTTCTAAGGTAGTTCGATCTCAAATGTACCAGTTCTTATCAAATTGTCCAATCTTTTCTCATAACCTCCTTGATGGTGCAAATAGTTACTTCCTCCGTCCCAAAATTATTATCTAGTTTGAATTTTCACTTTTAGCACATTATTATCTTGTTAGTACTAAAAGTGAAAATTTAAAGTTTACAATGATTTGGGACAGAGGGAATATGGATAATCATGAATCCACTCTTGTCCGAAGAACTCGCCTCGCACCGAACCTCTAACAATAACTTAAAAACTCTTTACTGAGGATTCATCTTAATCATATCATAGAACGTCTTATCTCTTCACAATCTTCAGCACTGGAGTTTGAGAATTGAATTTAATGTCTATGGCCACCATTCAAGGGATTTTGATCAATTCATAAGTAACATAATAAACATTGAAAGAATAATTTTGAGTTCAACTAATGGAGTTGAGTTATGGGGACCCGTCAAACTATATACATAAAACATGAGTTTGATCACAATTTTCTTAGTATGTGCCCCACGCATGTATGGTCGAGGTGGTAAGGACTTAAAATTAAACATTCAGTGCTCAATTTTATTATTCTCTTCTGCTTTTCTAAAGATTCTTTCGTTTCAGTCATCTCACTATTGTTACTAATTTAATTTCATTTATTATTTGAGACTTTTGACAATCACAAACTATCGACATTGGTAGATATTTGCATTTCACTTTTGAAGCGGAAAAGGATGAAGACTTAAAGCCGCATTCTTTCAAGTTCAATAACAAACAAGGCTATGTGTAATTTGTTGGAAATGAGTAGTAAGTGAATGAAAATTAAGTTTCTCAAGAGTTGGAAAATTTAGAGTTAAGGCTAAGGGACTTTGTCCCAAATGAGTGTTGGGAAGAGTTGGAGCTCACTTTATAAGTGAGAGCCAAAAATTGATTTGCAAGTTGACTTGCCAATACTATACCACATCTCTCCCATTCACGTGCGCCCGCACAGGAGAGGGTGCAAATGGAGGTTCGCTTTGGGGCCAAAATAGCTTCACTCATGTGTACGCACAAGCTGCAGACACGAATGCCGAACCGAACTCTAATGGGCCTGATCAATCCACGTTTTGCTCCGGTTCAGATTAATTTTTTCCAGCTAAAATTTTAAAGTGGAGATTTATGTTCATTCATTTCAGTCAAAGAGAAAACTGAAACGTTACAATTAAATATTGCTCTTGAATGAGCAAATGAATGGCGTATTTAATACTATTTAAATGGCAGAATGAATTCTTTTGACTGTTTGATTGTCAAAAACGTTTTGGCTGTTTATGTGCCATGAATTCGTGACATTTAACAGAACTAAAACACCAAAACCGTTTGAAGTTTTGCTACCATTTCAACGGTTTCTACAATCTATAAATAGGCACTCATTTTCCAAAATTCTACACACCAATCATTCCTCCTGATGGGGGTCAACTCTGACCCACTTTGACCGGCCCAACTGGGGCTTATCTTGTAAGCCCAAGAAGTCTATTTATTCCTTCCTAAAGGCCCAGGCGGGTTACAAGGAATAACTACATGTTTATTTACGCTTTTGCCCCTCCCAACACAGGGGCCTATAGGTATTGTCCCATTGGGACCTATAAATACTCCTTGTTCATTTATTGCTAACTCAATTCCACACTCCCGTTTCTCTCTCTAAGTGTGATAATAGCCTACTTCTCTTCCTAGAACTGACTTAATTTTCGAAGTGCTAACCTCCGTCTTGCAGGTTCCTGTCTAGGTCGGACCGTTGACTCTCCGCCCCCGGGATTTACCGTCGACAAGTGGCGCCGTCTGTGGGAACATCCATTCCCGTTTGGCCGAGGGCAAATCCAGTTGTTCTACGAGAGTAATGGTCTCCACCCGGACAAGGCCTGACGAAGGGACGAGTCGCAGGCCTGGATTAAGATCGAGGGTGGTAGGGGAGAGTTCCCGCGTATCTGCCCGGTCCCGCGGAGAACGCCGAGACAAGGAGGATGCCGAAAGGGCTTCCCAAACTAATGACCGTCAGGGCCGCTCCAGGAGGTCTGACGATCCTCGCGAGGGCCACGGCCACGGATCAGCCGAACATCGGAGGAGCCGGTCCCGCCGGACCAGTAAAGAAGCGGAGAGGAGCAAAGAACCTTCCAAGCATCCTCGCCCGTCCGTTCACCTGAACGAGGACCACATGATGACCGCTTCTGGAGATCCTTTGCCGGAAGATTCCCTGGATTCGAAGAACAGTTCAAAAAGTTCAAGGACATGTATTATGGAGGCAAAGGCGAAGGTCCGGACGATAGTCTCATGTTCATGGGGAAATGAAGGGTCTCTCGGGGTCGAGATCGATCCAGAGAACGCGACCCTAAAACCCCACCAAGACCCGAGCCGTGGGTGGACCGCGAGGGTGTGTCAGATCCCCGGCTCGAGGCTATACTCAACAGTAGGGAGACGCTGGGAAGTCCTTTCGCCGAGCATATCCGGTGCTATCCTCGGCCTGTAAACTTGAAACTCCAAACGGACATCCCAAAGTACGGGGATGATACCTGTCCAGCTAGCTTCTTGGCCGATTACACCGCGGCCATGGATTTGCGAGACTTACCCCGGGAGTTCTCTGCTAAAGCGATGCCCACCTTTCTAACAGGGGCCGTTAAGATATGGTTCGATAGCCTTCCCCCGGGAAGCGTTACTTCTTACGCGGACTTAGGGCGAAAGCTCCACGTCCGATTCTTTTCTAGCAAGAGAGCCAAGCACACCATCCATGACTTGTCATCGATTCGCCAGCCTCGGAACGAGTCTTTGGGGGAATACTATGAGAGGTTCACGAAGGAACTCATGATGATAGATCAAGTCGACGATTTGGTGGTGAAGTCGAGTTCGTGAACGGCCTCTCTCCCTTTGGTGCGGGCGCTGCCCTAAGGAGCAAGCTCACGGCTAAGCCCCCGGGCACTACCCAGAGGTTGTGGGAGATAGTGAAAAGGAGATCCAGACGGACGAGTCCATGAAGAGAGCCAGAGAAGCTTTTGCCGAAGGCGAGAAGAAAATAGGGAAGCCGGAGGCAAAGAAACTCAACATCGGATCTCCGAAGTTCGAGTCCAAAGTACCCGTCCTCACCAAAACTAGAAAGGAGATTCTTCAAATTCACAAGAGTGAGTTCAAGCTTCCACCCCCGGGCCGGTCTTAGAATGAATCCTCATCCGAATGGTGCGATTTTCACCAAAGCAAGGGGCATAATACCGAAGATTGCTACAGGCTGAAGAAGGAGATTGATGAGGGTCTTAAGGCGGGAAAGTTTCAAGATTGTATCCAGAAGGGGTCTCAAGAAAAAGCGCCAGGCCAACCCAAGAACCGGAGGTGGCTGAAAAACAAGGCTAAGACCGCCACTCAAGTCCCCGTCGGGGACGGGGCCAAAGCCCAGGATGGTGTCGATCCGGCGCAGGCACGGCTGATTTTGGCCGCACCTGTGGGTGCTATCTACGGGGCGCCTTTGGGGGTCCGGAGTGTTTTTGCTCTCTGCAGGAGTTCGCGTCCCCGACCGCCGGATGAGTCCGAGGCTAAGCACCTCCGTCCCGGGGAGGAGATATCCTTCTCAGAGCAGGATTTGGTAGGTGGATCCGAAGATTACTCCGACGCGTTGGTCATCACGGCTATAGTCGCCAACCGGGAAGTTCGACGCGTATACGTTGATAATGGTAGCGCAGTGGATGTCATGTACGGTGATTGTTTCCAGAAGTTGGGCCTCGACAAGACTCAGCTCCGCCCTGTATCCATACCTTTGGTCGGCTTTTCCAACCACGTGATAATGCCGTTAGGCATAATCAGCTTGGCGGTTACCGTAGGGACTTAGCCCAAGGATCGAGTAATTCTCGTCGACTTTGCAGTGGTGGACGTCGTGGCCCCTTTCAATATCATTCTGGGGCGGCCTTGGATGAGTCAGGCGAAGGCCATTTACTCGCCATATCATTTGGTCATGAAGTTTCCGACCGAGGCTGGGATTGTAGAAGTTCGGGGAGATCAACAATTGGCGTGACAGTGCATGGTTATCGCCGCAAAGAAAGGGCGGGACTTCCTTCAGGGAAGGATAACCGTCGGGTCCGTCCAGGAGGCCCCGATCTCTGAAGGCGAAGACCAAGGAAACGACGACTCTGGTCCCACGGATGACGAGGTTAAGGACGTGGCCCTGAATCCTTTTATAGAAGGAAGGGTCGTCAGCTTAGGAGCTGTTTTGCCCCCCAGCCTTCGTGACATGGTGGTTGAATTGTTGAAGCAGTTCGAAGACATCTTCGCTTGGAGTCCCAGTGACATGACGGGGATTCCTCCCGAATTAGGCGAGCACAAACTAAATGTTGACCCTAGCGCGCGGCCCATATAGCAGAGGAGGCGGAAGATGGCTCTCGAGCACAATGCCGCTATCGATGTGGAGGTTACTAAGCTGTTGGCCGCGCCCATGCTCAAGGAGATCTTCTATCCCATGTGGTTGGCCAATCCAGTCATGGTAAAGAAGCCCGACTCTTCTTGGTGTATGTGTGTAGATTATAAGGATCTCAATAAATACTGTCCTAAGGATTGCTACCCTCTTCCGGCAATCGAGCAGAAGGTCGATGCTATCTCGGGATACCCGGTGCTTAGCTTTCTGAACGCGTACAAAGCGTACCACTAGATTCTGATGCACGAGGGTGATGCAGAAAAAACGGCCTTCGTCACTGAAAAGGGGGTGTTCTGCTATATGAAAATGCCCTTCGGTCTAAAAAACACGGGTGCTACTAACCAACATGTGGCCAATCGCATCTTCGGGGACCAGTTGGGAAGAAACATAGAGGTCTATGTGGATGACA